TATATACTAAATAAATAAAAAAAAAAAATTAATAGATAGAAATTTCACACTCAAAGCAAATATATTCTCTATTATTTTAATCCATTTTTTATGTGTGATGATGTGACAGGTGATTAGCATAATGCTATTGATTTAAAGAATATGAAATTTTGAAACATAGTTGATGGACATATTATTAACTTCCAAATGGTTAAATGAACAATTCAATACAAGATAATGCAGTTTAGGTTAACATGTGTTATGACATTTCAACCTATAGTAAAATTAAAAACATATTTATATGTTAGGGACAATTCCATTATGAGGTTTCAAATTTTGTTATTGTGTCACTATAAGAACAGATTTTTCTAATCTTTTCATTTGAAGGTTTCAAATTTAAGTTATTCTCAATATAAGACCTACTTTTACATTCTACTTTTCAATTTAAGACTCCTAATCACTTTATATTTTGATGTAATTATTTAAACCACAATACTTTTTTTAATTTATTATTTAAATACATATAATGAAAAATATTAAATATGTTTAGTAACTTTTTATTTTTATTTTTTTCATATCATTAGTAAAATTACCTAAGAAGATATTTATTTTATAATTTAAATCTATGCAAAAGCTTAATGAAAATTATTTTAAAAGTTAAAAAATAAAATTTAACTTAATTTTAATAAAAATATGTTATAACATCAACATATAAATTAGTTAGAAAATAATTTTATTTTTTTAAATAAACTTATAGAAAATATCATTTGTTAATAAAGTTTATATTTTTGAGAAAGTTAAGAATATATAAAATTAATGCCTATAATAAAATTATTAAATATATTTGTAAAACTAGTTTCGTAAGAAAATTAATCCAAATTAGTTACAATTATGCAAAATATATTTAGCTTAAATGATTGATTTTGTATGAAAAATATTTCTAATTATTTTTTTAGAAAAAAAGATATTATGGTTTACATAATTATATCAAAATACAAAGTGATTTGGAGTTTTAAATTGAAAAGTAGAATGTAAAAGTAAGTCTTACATTGAGAATAACTTAAAATTGAAACCTTCAAATGAGGAAAAAGTTAAAAATTCAGGTCTTATTGTGACACAATAACAAAAAATCAAACCCGACAATATAATACTCCCTCCTATTTCTATTATTTGTCGTTTTGAGAAGCAACACACTAATTAAGAAATTTTTTTTGTCAATATTAACCCTATTTAATAGATGTTATGGGAAACTATGAAGATGAGATATGAAGAGACATTGTGCATTGATGGAGGGTTAAAAATTGAAAAATATGAATAAAATAGCCAAACCGACATTTATTAAATCAACATTCCATTAAACTAAAACGACAAATCATAAAAATAGGAGGGAGTATATGTTATGACATCAACATTGCTAATCACAAAAGCAAAGTTATTATGACAATTCCAATATTGATGTGTGATCATAAGTCAATAATTGATGGAACTATTTAGCTAATCTATCTCACACCACATTTGCAGGAAGCATATGATTGGGTGAAAAAAGGCTGAGATATATATAAGAAAACACACGAATGGTGAAATCCTCAACTGTGAAAAACAATTTACAAATTTGGGGGCGCGTCTATTGTGTAATTTGTACCCTCTATCTCTACTTGGGAAGCAGTTTGATATCGTTTAAGCAAGATCTCGGTTTGAATTCTTGTGGATGCAAAAAAACTCTTGTTGGGAGACTCACCTACCACTGTCATGTGTGCGATCTGGGTCGGCCCAGTGGCTGGCTACCAAAAAAAAAGATTCCTCTTTTCGAGATTCAACGCCCTTACTAGGATGTCATCTACCCTAACTCCACTCATCCCACTATAATTTCAGCACAGATTACAGTCCTCACCAGTTTCAGGTTTGTTTTATCAGATCCCTTTTTCGGTTTATGTTTCAATTGGGTTTGTTGGAGAAATTATGTACATGACCTGGGCTTGTTGATTCGATCAATCGCAGGCATTTGAGTTCTGGGTTCTGCCCATTTTTTGTTTATCGATTGATTTGTTGGCTGGACATGAACTTTGTTGTTTGGGCTTGTCGTCAATCTTGAATCTTGGAAGTTATTTACCACAGCCCATTTTGTTTTGATCTTTCTGCAAATGGAAGTGAAAGATAGATAGAATTTTGAGCTGGGAATGTGAATATTTGCAGTTTATGATTTGCATGTGATGTGTTTAGCTCAATTTGAGTGAGCTTTAATTCTGTCATCGGTTTAACGACATGTGCATCTGTTGTTCGTTTTTCCAGCTAAAGATTCATATATTGATATGATTATGTTAACATTGTCACATTCCTTGTGTTTGTTGGTGAATTTTTTTAATTGGTCATTTGTCTGTGAAGGGTTAATTCAGGGAGTGGTCGATTTTGAGAGTGTCGATAACGATAATTCTTGAAGTAGAAAGTGATGCTCGGCTTCTTATCAGAAAAACACAAAAGCTAAGAAAGAAAGGGAAAGGAAGAAGCTTTTAATGTTATGGGATTTTAGTGATTCCTTCTAATTGTGTTTGATTTTATATCAGAATCTGGTATGTAGGTGCTCGAGAGTTGCAAAGTTTTATTCTTATTGTGGTTCGACTTTACAATGAAATAAGCAGCTACACGGTTTATTTACCGAAAACTCTTTCAAACTAATTAATTTCGGTAATTATTGGTTTTCGATGAGCAGCTTTACTTTATGCTGCTTAGTATTTCGGCTCCTCTATCGATCTGAACCATGGTAAAGAATGTTTTCTGTATTTTCTTTGTATAAACTAATTAACCGAACAATTTCTCACAATTGATGCCAGGACGCGTGTGGCAACATTGTAGGAAGAAAAATAAAATGTATTCTGAATGCACACATTTGTTTTGATTGGTTACAACTCAAAAGAAAGATCCTGATTTTCTTTTTCTTTTGTTCTTTAATATCCCATCATTTCATCTGGTTATGGTTCTTTTCTTTTTATGCATATTTTTTTCCAGTGCCATAAAAGGAACTTTAATTACTGCCCACGAGACAAAATGAGTCTGGCATGCCTTGTATGCCACGGCGTAGAAAGCCCGTCTCATTCGTTTAGAAGCTACTCGGTTTCGAGCTCCGAAAATGAGGGCAGATGCTCGGCAATGGCTAGTTGCTTGACCCGAAAGACTTCACTCCCTCACCACAGGACCAATCACAGCATAACTTCATCTAAGGTGATGCCACAGCCCACCATTCCAGGTAATGGGGCCCCAAGGCTAGTCCGGAGCCATGCTGTAAGGAGGGATATCGTGAGGGATTGGAATTTTGACGAGGTTCATTTAGAACGTTAGTCGATAAACTCTGAGTCAAGTGATAGTTTTTTCAAACAAAAGTTCCTGAGAATGGAGCCTGATGCTATCCATTTGTACGGTTTTACTTTTTTTTTTTTTTTTTTGGGTGTGTGTGCAGCTGATGTTTAGTTGCAGTGGGTGTTTTTTGAGCATTTTGTAACATTGAGCAAGAAAGTTTAAGAAATTCGAATAGATCTGTTTATATACCTTCGCTGTTCGTTTTGCTTTTCTGGAGCTCTAGTCTATAGCTTAGTGATGTTTTATTTGCTTCCATCTTTGATATAGATTTGTGCTCTACATTTGATCAATGCTCTCTTGAAGATGTCTTCCTCTCTACAAATTATAGATGATTTCTTACTTCAAAACTATTAAATTTCATGACATTACTTGGAAGTTGCAATTAAGAAACTAAAAGAGAATACCTTCATCAATTGCTGGATGGACAGTTTTGCTATAACGTCAACAGTTGGCTCCAAGCCAATATTCTATATATAACAAGTAAACTTACCATATTTTTTTATTACTTAAATAACACAATATAGTTTTATTAATATGATAGGTTTTATTTGTTATATATAGAAGGTTGACTCCGCTATGAAGCCGACTGTTGGCTTTATAGCAAAACCGAGTGCAAAATCTAATATATATGTGATTATTAGTCCATAAATAGAGAAAACATGTTGGATAAATTTATATATGCATATCACAACACACACACAGACGCGCGCGCACACATTTACAGAGCAAAAAGATCTAAATCCAACTCCTCCTCCTCCTCGTCACTACACTCCAATGGCGGCACTCAAAACCCCGCCCCTCTTCTTCACCCTCTCTCTCCTCTCCCTTCTCTCTCTAACCTTCTTCTACCTCCACCCCACCACCACGACGACCACCGCCACCGCCCCCTCAAATTCCCAAACTGCCCTCGACACTTCCGGTAATTCCATCAAGGTCCACATCTCGCCCCTGCCCAGATCCCTCAACTACGGCCTCCTCGAAAAATACTGGGCCCTCACCTCCGACAACAGGATCGGCAGCGAGGTGGACAACGAGATCAGAAAGACCCTTTTGCCCAAAACCTCCGGCGAATCCCTCCCGTACCCGGAAAACCCCATAATCAAACAGTACAGCGCCGAGTACTGGATCTTGGGGGACCTGTTGGCTCCTCAAGAAACGAAAAGGGATTCTTTTGCGAAGAGGGTTTCGGACCCTGAGGAGGCCGACGTGGTTTTCGTGCCATTTTTCGCGACGTTGAGTGCTGAGCTGCAGCTGGTGATCAATAAGAGCGTGTTTAGGAAAAGGGTTGAGGAGAATGAGGATTACGGTAGGCAGAGAATGGTGGTCGATCTTGTTAAGAAGACGGAGGCTTGGAAGAGGTCCGGTGGCAGAGATCATGTCTTTGTTCTCACAGGTAATTTTTTGTTCAGGATTAGTTAAATAAAATGCCTCTTAATTTAGCTTAGTTACAGAAGGAGGTTTACAAATTGCTTAGTCAGGAGGGAATGTGTTGGGCAAAGATATACCTGAAGTGGGGGTCTTCTTAAAGCTGTAAAAGGGTATTTGTGTTTTGTTGATAGAAAAATGGGATTCTGTAAATCTTGAGGTTGGATTTTGTCACTTTTCGGTTTATTATCAATGTGGTGCTTGAATGATTGTAATATTGTTTAGGCCATGAATGGAAATTGTGCAATGACTGATAGGTAGACTACATTGTGTGTTTGCCTCGATTGTTATCAGGGGGAGAGTAGTTATTATCGGCTTTATTGGGTGTGATTAATTACTTTCAAGGATTTGTATGTATATGCAGATTATGATTGTGAATTACTAGTTACCTTTGTTACTCTATTGGATGTGTGTGTGTGAGTGTCTGCCTGTGCATGGTGTTAGAAAAGGGAAAAAGATGGTACTTTATGATATACGTACTTGATTAGGTTTCAATCCCTTGGGGCAAGATTTATTTCTTGCGGAAAAAAAGTAGCTTTTGGCCTTGCTGATTGAAAGGAAATTGCTTCTCACATTGTTTGGCAAGATTACATCTGCTATATGATTTTGTCTGAATATTCACGGTTGAATCCTGTTGAAAATTCTACCTCGTCGAAAACGACAAATAGTAGTGTATGCACATGTGTGTTGCTTATATTAAGTCTCTGGATTTTGTCAGGTTATGTTAAACCTTGAAGCAAATTTTTGGCAGACCCTGTTGCGATGTGGCACGTAAAGGACGAGATTGCCCCTGCAATTCTTCTTGTGGTAGATTTTGGTGGCTGGTACAGACTCGACTCAAAAACGTCCAACGACAGCTCATCGAACTTGATGATACATCATACTCAAGTTTCGCTGTTAAAAGATGTCATAGTGCCGTACACTCATTTACTCCCTAGGCTGGATATCTCGAAAAACAAGAAACGAGACACCCTTCTTTACTTCAAAGGAGCCAAGCACAGACATCGGGTTAGTTTTCACTATATTAGTTACTGAAAGTTTTCCAAAATTAAAATAAAAAAAAAAATGTCCCATTAGTACTTGCTTTCTTCCTTTATCATTGGCTTTTTGTATGTGATTCTGATCTTTATCCTATTCAAAAAGAACTCCACTTGTCGTTTCAAACCTTTTCAATACCATGTTTAGGTAAATATAATTAACTATAATAGAAAAAGGCCTTTTATTTTTTCAAATTACAGGTCATGTTTGAAATATGTTTCTCTTTTCCAAAATTGCACCTTCAAACTGAGATATTTGTTATCACAGTACAAACTTTGAATTAAAGGTTTCCTATAATCAGACAGATTAGACCTCAACTGTAGTTCATGTAACTAACCATTGTTATTGCTATTATTCTCTTTTAGGGTGGATTAGTTCGAGAAAAATTGTGGGATTTACTAGTTAACGAGCCGGGAGTCATAATAGAAGAAGGCTTCCCGAATGCCACTGGAAAAGAGCAGTCGATAAAGGGAATGAGAACATCCGAGTTCTGTTTACACCCAGCTGGCGATACACCCACCTCATGCAGACTTTTCGATGCCATCCAAAGCCTTTGCATACCAGTCATTGTTAGTGATAACATAGAGCTTCCCTTTGAAGGGATGTTGGATTATTCTGAATTTTCCGTTTTTGTGGCGGTTAGCGATGCTTTAAGGCCCAATTGGCTCGTGGGCCATCTCAAGAGCTATTCTGATGAACAGAAGGATAGATTTCGTGAGAATATGGCTATGGTTCAGCTGGTTTTCCAATATGATAAAGGTTATTCGGGTGGGATTGGGGCCGTGAATCATATATGGAAAAAAGTTCATCAAAAGTTGCCGGTGATTAAAGAAGCTATTACGCGAGAAAGAAGAAAAACAACGGGGGTTTCTGTTCCAGCTCGCTGCCATTGTATTTGATTGCAGAATGTTTTTTTACTTCAGTGTGGTTTGTGTTGTTTTTAATCAATATGAGTTGGTTCTTTTTTGCATAGGAATATCCAGGCTAACATTATTTTACGCTGTTTAATGGTTTTATTGGTGCATGACTGTCACTGTGTAGATCAAATGTTCAGACATAAAATGCATATGTTCCTTTCAAGTTTTTTTAACTCACGACATTTGCAGACCAGTATTTAAAGCTAGTTTGGTTAACGAGCCGAACTCGGTCCAGCTCGATAAGGTTCGTTAAAGCTCGAAAAGAGGGTTTTTGATGCAGCGCATCCCACATCGGGTTTGAAAGGAAACGAAGCAGGCCTTATATGAGGATGTGGATACCTTCACTAGTAAGACGCGTTTTGGTGGGTGTGTATTGAAGTCCAGCCAAGAACAAAGTCGTGCGGGTGGCGGAAATAGCCCAAAGCGGACAATATCTTACTAGGGTATGCATCAGTTGGTATCAGAGCCAGCCCATGTGCCAACGGTGACCGCTGGGCCCACAAGGGGGGGGTGGATGATGCAGCGCATCCCACATCGGGTTTGAAAGGAAACGAAGCAGGCCTTATATGAGGATGTGGATACCTTCACTAGTAAGACGCGTTTTGGTGGGTGTGTATTGAAGCCCAGCCAAGAACAAAGCCGTGCGGGTGGCGGAAGTAGCCCAAAGCGGACAATATCTTACTAGGGTCTGCATCAATTAGCATGGAGTTCTCAATCCCAATACAACCCGAAACATGCATTCATGGACATAGCTACATAAATCAATTCGACTTGAAATTTTTACACCACATAGCATACCAACCAAGGACTATACAGTTCAAATTTCACGAAAAATGGACAATCATACGATTTATTATGATTTTTGCAAGAATCAGCGGTCAAACGCGATTTTATCACAATAACACATAATCAAAAAACAAATCAATAAATGCCAACCCTATCAAGCAAATCTCATATACGAACACTTAAACGCATATTCAATGATAAACTAGTGGGGTTGGAACGTAGGTACCATTCACGGGAAAATGTTCGAACAACAAACGGTCGCAAGGAACGAACGGTACCACGAGGCTCGACGGCTTCGCTACGTCTCGCGGAGGAAGAGCAGCGGCTAATGGGGCTCGTCGGAGGCTACCGGTACCTGCGAGGGTGGCAGCGAAGGTTCACGGGCTGCTGCGATTAAGCTCGGGAACAGGGCGGCATGCGGAGACGACAATTTC